AATCCCGCGCGCCAAAGTTCTCGCTTTAAAAGTTCATCCTCTGGTGATAGGTGCTTTCCCGCTCGCTAGAAAGCCGCTTGACGCCTCCCTTGATCTTGCAGAATGGTCGACTAGAGAGACGAAGGATGTATTGGACAGATTTTGGGCAAAGCAACCAACATAAAGGTCCTACTTTTGAAGTCCTCCACCCATTAGAAGGTCGCGTCTGCTAGTCCTCCTCATCGTGAGCACGATGGACGTCTCGCCACTTGGAGTGTTCCTCCTTCCGGCTTTGGTGAAGTTCTCTATACGTCCAAATATTAGGATTTTTGTAGAAGATGTTCTTTCGCGCAACAAGTTGACTCTAGATGGCATCAAGGTCTATGACACCATCTTTGGGTCATTGTTCACATATGACTACAACGAGAATGTCCTCCGTGCCTTTTGTGAGCTTTGGAATCCATCTACCAATACAATTTCTACCTTTATTGGTGAGCTCTCCATCTATTTGTGGGACTTGCGAGCAATCGAAGGCCTTCCGGTGCATGTACGACGAAGTTATCCCCTCGGCGAAGGAGTTGACACAAGCTGATGATCAAGGAAAACCTTTCCTCCCAAGACGTTGTCTGCACCTGTTCTCGGTGTTCTACAAACTCATGAAGGATGATGTCCACGAGGTCTTCATTTGTGATTGGGTGGAGTTTTGGTTTAGAGGTCCGAGTAGGTATGCCAAGCTTCCGCAAAAGTCACCAAGGAATCGGACTACAAGGCCGAAGTTGAATAATGATCCTTCTAGAAATATAGACGCGAGCTTCCTACCACGAACCAATAAGGAGAATGCCCCCTTTATTGAGCTTGGCATGGAGGAGTCACTTAGAGTTGAGACTTATTTGGCAATTTTCCTTGCATGTTGGCTTTGCAAATTTGTGTTCCCCAATAAGAAGATCGACTGCATTCGTGCTAGTGTCTTCAAAATCACGAGTTTGATGGCTCACAGAGAGAAGTTTTCCTTGGCGGTTCCAGTCCTTGCAAGTATCTATCATGGCTTGAAGGAGGTCTCCACTTCTCAAGATTTGGGTGCCTGCAAAGCACTCTTTCCTATTCATTATGTATATGGATGGATAGGAGCATATTTCGACACCTACTATCGTGTTAAGCGTCCACAACGAGGCCCGCAAATGTGCAAGGTTTCTGGCGAGAAGATGGACAAGCATTTTGACCTTAGTAATGCCCGTGAGTTGTTTCAACAAGTTAGTGCGCGACAATTTCACCATTTAGCTATGCTACAATGGAGGGAATTGCATCTTACCGATCGTGACGAACAATCAAATTCTTGGAGTGACTTTTTTATAAGTCTTCGCTCAAGCTTCATCACCCTTAGGCATGATGACATTCATATTGTGGAATCTTATAGCCCCCATAGGTTTAGTCGTCAATTAGGCTTTGTCAAGATATTCCTGGCAACCTCATAGAGCGACCTTATGACGGTTCACTGAAAATACTAGTGCAAATCTGGGACTCGTGTTCGTCTTGGAGGTTCGTCAAAGGTTATTGTCCCTACGCGTCCATCAGAAGAGGGGCCTCTAATGACTCGTGAGTATGGAGATTGGTGGTCAGCTCGTCGCGTGCACTCTTCCCGACAAAGTACTCACTTCATTTTGAAAGTTCCAAGGAAAGATGATATTCCTTTATCCTCCAAAGATGATCAACGTCAAAGGAACGCTTATTAAGGCCTTTCAAGTCCAAGTTAGGATCGAAAGATCCTTCGAATCCAAGTCTACCTCTTCGACATGCGGGGATGCCCATGTGGAAAAAGGAGCTAAACATTTTATGTTGACTTCCAAGACAACTACTGCCACTGTGGAGGTGACAAACAATCCTTGCAAAAGGAAAGCGCCTCCTACTTCACCAAACAAAGATGTTGCGAGGACAACCAACGTTGTGCCAACAAACGAGGAAAGGACTCAAGCTTCTGCTTTGCCCAATGAGATTGTGAATGTTAGTGTGACTTCCAATTTGAACGGGAGTTTTAGTCACGACATACATTGGAATCATTCAAAGAAGAAGGCTAAGGACACGAGCCACGATGAGTTTGCTAACTTAGATGCTCTTAGTATCGATACAAGATTTTTCATAGAGGGTGACCCTAGCTCAACGATGCCGTTGTCTGAACTGGAGAAGCGAGTAAATATTATTTCCTTCAATTTACTCCTTTTTACTCTTTTTTTGAACACCAAAGTTATTATTATTTTTTTAATTGTAGTTGGGCGTCGATGAGTTGTATGATGATGTACTTGGTGACAACATGGTGGAAGACTGTGTTACAAGCCCAAATTCCCTCGGTGGGGCCTCAAAAAGTCCTCATAGTTCATTTGATGGTATTGAACATCATGCTGCAAATATTGCTCCGTTGACAGATTTGAGTCTACCCAAAGAGTCGCACCTCGTTCTTCCAGAAGATGTTATGCTTTCCAAGCCAGCCATGACGAGTAAGATGGAGGTTGCCACAAGTCAACCAAAATGCCAAAAAGTCTTCGAGCCTACTCCATGGCCGTTGCATCTTGATGCTCCAAACTTCAAACCACAAGAGACTATTTCTCGTATTAAACTTTCTTTTATTAACACGATGTGGCATACCTTGTGCAAATGGATCGAAGAGTTCTCTCTTGATTCTCTGAACAACTTCACAAAGTTGGAGGAAAGTTTCGCTTTGACTCTTAGAAATTAAGAAAGAAAATATTATTGATACTTCTATTTTAGAGGCTCTTGTTGAGGCTTTCTTCAAGACACACGCAGATTACGATGCTTTAAGATCGTTCAAGATGACTAAAGAATTTCACCAACAGTCACTTTCTGATGCACGACGACGCCTTGATGATGCAAAATAGGAATATAAAAAAGTGAACGAGTCTGTAGAGAAACTTTAAGCCAATCTTGCGAGTGTTGAACAATAGCTAGCTGCCTTGGCCTTCTGAAAGAAGAAGATCGTCGCGCTCTTGGACAAACAACAAGTGAAGTTGGCTAAAAGTCAAGAGAACATTGACATCACCGAAGGGGAGATTTATACCATTGAAGCCAATCATCCATTATCTGATGATGAAGCAGAGAAATTATCCCTCCTGAAAAGGGCAGTTGAGACAAGCCGCCACTAAATCCTTAGCTTCAAACCTTTTCCATGATTTTAGAGAATTATTTTTCTTTGCTTAGGATTCTCAACTTACGATTTTTTTTATAACTAATATCATGTAATGGAGTACTTATTTCTTGGAGCAGTAAAAGTATCTTTATTTTTAGTATGTGATATCTCTCTTTGAGACCTGGATTCCCTCTCTTACTTCCAATTATTTCTTTCTTAAATTTCAGCATATGTCTTCTGTGTTGGCTTTGTTGCTTCACGCGTTCTTGTTAAAGAAAGTCATATCTTGAGCTAGGAGTATCAGAATAATAATCCGTTGGCATTGTTAGAAAGAAAACTCAGAGACCTGAAGTACCTTTGAATTTCATGGCAGAACTTCTTTTGGGCCATTAACAGAAAATTCGCGACATCGACTTAATCGCAGTAAACTTTCAGATTTGCATACCTTCGACGAAAATAATTGTATCCTGATCTAAGAGCATCGGATCACAATCCATTTGCGGTGTCAGAAAGTCGAATCGGAGATCTAAAACTATATAAATTTCATAACAGAACTTCTTTAGGACTGTCAACAGAAAATTCGCGAAGTCGACTCAACTACAGTGAACTTTCTGATTTGCATACTTTTGGCGAAAATAATTGTATCTTGATCTACGAGTATCGAAATTACAATCCGTTTGCGGTGTCAGAAAGTAGACTCGGGGATCTAAAGCACCTAATTTCATGGCAGAACTTTTTTTGGTCTAACCAACAGAAAATTCACGAAGTCAACACAACTGCAGTGAACTTTCATATTCTCATGCATATAGAAATCTTTGAGACATAAGACCTTTTGGATTAATCAAAGTTCCAGATCATGTATTGCTTGACCCTTTGGAACCCAAATTAGAAATTTCACAGTTAGGCCACATGATGGGGGAATAATTCACATTGGATTTAACTACACAAAGCTTTATGATAGCATCATGTTTTGAAGAAATGAAGCAAACTTGGAAAGGCATTCAAGACAAGATAGCGACAATCTTTCACGTCAATTGCTTTTATGACTTTGATTTTTCATATAGGACGAAGTACAAATATTTTCATCCTTTTAGTCTCTTGACAATGATGTATCAGATCCTTGTAGCATTGAAGCAATGAAATGTCCATTTTGGCTCGACACAAATTGCCTTCTTTCTTTCTGTAATATGCGCCTATTTGAGTAATCAACGTGATGCCTCAGCTCAAATTTTGATGATCATGTCACGTTGAAACACATTTTTTTTAAAGTTTATGCGACTGAACTTAGAATGAAACTCTAAGCTGCCTACGTATCTCGGTGAAGAGGATCAAGTGATAACGTAGTTCAAAATAAGTGAGTTTTTTCTTTTCATTTTTTTTATGTCCTAACTTTTGCCTAGGCCGCCTCTTTCGAGGTTTTCAACCTAGCGTAGTTTTTTTGCCTAGGTCGCCTCTTTCAAGGTTGTCAACCTAGCGAATTTTTTTTATGTCCTAACTTTTGCCTAGGCCGCCCCTTTCGAGGTTTTCAACATAGCGGACTCCTTTTTTTTTGGGTGTCGTTCGCAGTTTAGGCTCATGCGGGCCAGGAGCATTTATTCTTCAAGGATAATGCCTTTTCAAAAAATTTTCATTGATAGGGCCAATTCTCATGCCAATTGCATCAACTAACTTGTAAGCTCCACTTGAATAGGCTTCTTGCACAACATATGGACCATCCCATTTTGAAGTGAATTTGCCCCCGGATTTGGGAGAGGTGATAATAGGTCTTCTTACTACAAGAACTTGATTGCCAACTTGGAAGGACCTCAAGCGAACCTTTTTGTTGAAAGCACGAGAAAGACGAGCTTGATAACATTCAAGACTTCGTTGAGCTTCTAGACTTTTTTTAATCAAAGGACTCTAGTTCTTCAAGGCGCAGACGAGTGTTTTTTTCTTCAGTAAGACCTTCTTGGACAGCGAGTCGCAAGGATGGTATTTGACGCTCAAGAGGAAGAACTGCTCCGACTCCATAAACAAGAGAATAAAGAGTTGTTTGTGTCGGCGTGCGATGAGTCGTACGATATGCCCACAAAGCTTCTTCCATTCTGTCATGCCAATCTCTTTTAGACTTGGATACGACCTTCTTTAACAAGTTGCAAAGTGTCTTGTTAAATGCTTCGGCTAGTCCATTTGCAATATCATAATACATTGACGAATTACGTTGCTTGAAGCCAAAAAGTTTACAGATCTTGGTCATCAATTTGTTCTCAAATAGTTTGCCATTATCTGTTATTATATAATTAGGAATGCCAAAACGGTATATGATGTTCACTCGAATGAAGTTTGCAACATTCTCTTTCTTCACTTCCTTGAGAGCTACGACCTCGGCCCATTTTGAGAAGTAATCAGTTGCAACCAAGATGTATAGATATCCTTCAGAAGATTTTGGAAGTGGTCCAACAACATCTAATCCCCAGGCGTCAAATGGCCAAGATGCAATAGTAGAGTGTAAATTTCAGGTGATTGGTGTATAAAATTTGCGTGAAATTAGCAAGCCTTGCATCTTTGAGCATAATCTAAGCAATCTTTCATCATTGTCGGCCAGTAGTAACCCATCCTCTTAATGTGGAAGTGGAGCTTCAGCCCAGATTGATGTGATCCACAAACTCTAGAGTATGCCTCTTGCATAACTTGAGTTGCTTCATCTTCCCCTAAACAACGCAAGAGAACTCCCTCAAATGATCTTCAATACAAAGTGTTTTTGTAGTAAAGGAAGCGAGGGGCGCACCGACGAATTTCGGTCTTTCTCCTTGGATTTTCTGGAAGTATCCCATAACATAAGTAGTCGATCATGGTTTGTCGCCAATCAACCTTCTCAGCTTCAGTGACGGCTACCAAATGCTCGAGCTTGCTTTCTTCATCCTCATTCTCATTCAGTGGTACTATCCATTTTTGGCAGATAGTGATTTGTGTCTGGCCGGGCAGAGTCAATGTCAAAGCTAGAGCGGCTAAGGCATCAGCTTTCTTTTTTTCCTTCCTTGGCAAATGCTGAAGAGTTACATTGCCAAGCCATCCAATCAATTTTTGATCATGATAAGGACACAATTCTTGCTTTTTGACCTCGTAGCTACCTAGGAATTGATTGATCACTAACTTAGAGTCTCCAAAAATATGTAATTGGAGTTGTCTCATATCAACGGCCATCTCAAGCCCAAGTATGAGTGCTTGATATTCTGCAACACTGTTGTTGCAATGTTGTGTTAAGCTGAAGGAATATGGCAAGACTTCTCCTTGAGAAGTGACAAACACAACACTTGCACCAGCTCCTTCACGATTTGCTGCACCATCAAAATACATTTTCCATGGCGGTTGCACTTCGATGACCATTGCATCCTCATCAGGTAGTTCATCAATCAACTCCCAATCATCAGGTATTGGATGATCTGCCAAAAAATCTGCCAATGCTTATCCTTTCAAAACTTTTATGGGATGTACACAATCTCGAATTGTTGAAATTGGAGGTACCACCTTGCTAATCGATATTGAGGACGGGTTTTGACATAACAAACTTGATCGGGTTCGCCCTTGAGACGAGACGGATGACATGAGCTTGAAAATAGTGCTTCAGCTTTTGAATTGGGAAAACCAATGCCAGACACAACTTTTCGATCGGAGAATACTTCAGCTCATTTGGGGTCATCATCCTACTCAAGTAGTAGAGGGAATTTTCTATACTTCCACTATTTTCTTGGGCCAAAAGAGCTCCAACTGACCTTTCTTGAGCTGCAACATATAGAATCAATGGCTTTCCTGGTATAGGGGCTGCCAAAACCGAAGGTTTCATCAAGTAGGATTTGATGCTTTAGAATTTGTTGCTACAAGCTTGGTCCCATTCAAAAGGTACACCCTTCTTCATGAGACGGCTAAAAGGTTGGCACTTCCTTGCTAGATTTGAGATGAATCTTCTAAGGTACGCCATTTTCCTTGTAGACTTTTCAGTTCATGTATATTTCTGGGCTCGGGCATCTTCAAGATTGTCAACTTTGGCTTGATCTATCTCAATCCCTCGATGTCGAAAAATGAAGGCAAGGAATTTTTCAAAAGTAACTCCAAAGGCACATTTCAATGGGTTCATTCTAAGTTGATATCTTCGAAGTCGTTCGAACACCATTCTTAAGTCTTGCAAGTGGTCTCCTCCCTTTCTTGATTTCACCACTAAATCATCCATATAGAATTCCACGTTCTTGTGGAGGATGTCGTCAAAGATATTCTGCATTGCTCTTTGATATGTGGCGCTGGCATTCTTCAAGCCAAAAGGCATTACTTTGTAGCAATAAATGCCTTTAGGAGTGTGAAATGCAGTAAGCTCTTCATCTTTCGGTGCCATACGTATTTGATTATAGCCAGATGATCCATCCATGAAAGACATCGCCTCGTATCCGGTGGTGGCATCAATCATAAGCTCTGGGATGGGGAGCAGAAATTCGTCTTTAGGGCATTCATTATTGAGGTCTCTAAAATCGACACAAACTTGAATTTGGCCATTCTTTTTCTTCACAGGAACAATGCTTGAAATCCATGTAGGATATTTAACCTCCCGATTGACACCAACTTCGATGAGTTTATTGACCTCGGCTTCGATTGATGGTATCAATTCTGGCCTGAAGCGTCTTTGGGCTTGCTTAATAGGTCGAGCTCCTTTCTTGACCACGAGATGATGAACTTCTACTTTAGGATCTAAACTAGGCATCTCTTTGTAGCTCCAAGCAAAGACATCTCTATATTCTTTGAGTAGCTCCACATAAGTGCTTTCTTCATCTGTGGTTAGTAGGGCACTTACATAGGTGGCATGGAGTCTTCTGCAGTGCCAAGGTGGACTTCTTTCAATGCATCAACTGTCACTTTAATCCTTCTTCTAGTTCCGGAGGAGCGACCTCGACATCTTCGTCTTCATGGGATTACCATCATTAAAAGATATATGGCCACACAAAGAGGCATCTCCCAAATTTTTGTCGACCTTCCCTAGAAATGAAGTGTATTGCTCCTCATTTGCAGTAATGTGATATGAAGATCCTACACTTTCTTCATCTTCATCATGCTCTCTAGTGTTGACCACTGTGCGAGTCTTCACTTTGAGTACCTCTCCGTATGAAATCAAAAGTTCTGATTGTCGCCTCATTCTGGAAGGGATCGGGCTTCGACACTCTTTGGAGATACTTTGGACTCTAGATGGCAAAGGCCTTCTTATTTTTTCATAATTTCTTTGGGACTTGTTTTTCTTCCTTTTCAATGGCCCCAACCTCTCAAATACAGAAGTTATTGTAGTTGGTTCTCCAAGTAGATCAAAGACAGAAGGCCTTTTATTAGTATCAGCGGGTTCATCTTCCATCGTGATATACTTACTACTTGCTCTTCTAATGGAGATGCGAAGTGGTGGGGGTTGTTTGTAACCCAGACCCTCACGTGATTGCTTCACCACATGCTCCTTATCCTTCATCGTGTTTGCTTTCCTAGTAGCTTCAGATGGGAGCTTCCCTAGCTTAGATGGTTCGTTGGGATCATATCCAGCCTTTACAAACAACCTGTAAGCATTCAGATCAAAACCTTCATTTGTGCGTTTCATGGGGAGTGCCTTATTTTGAGGCATGTTAGGGCCACAAACTTTTCCAGTAGCTTTGGAGATAACTTTATGATATCAATCTGCTTGATAGGAAGGATTAATTCTCTTAGTGCATCTTTTTTTAGGCTTGATGATTCTCCTTCATCTTTCTTCACTTTTGGGATGTAACGAAATAAAGGATCTATTTTCTTGCCTGTAGTTGCAACATTCTTTTTGTGAGCTTTAGAAACTTGGTGTGCTTATATTGTAACTTTATCTTCACCAGAAGCTACTTCAACCCTTTTGGACACGATATTATCACCTTTGTCCTTCGTTATGTCATCAACTTTTTCCCTTCACGATGTGGTTCTTCAAGTAGAACTTTGCATCAACGAAGTATGCCTTGGCTTCAGCAAATGGCTTGTTGTCAGCAACTATCCTCTTTTCGACTCCATTTTTATCATATTTCAAACATTGGTAGTAAGTTGATGGGACAACTTTGTTCTCGTGTATCCACGACCTGCCAAGAAACAAATTGTATGAAGTCTTTGCATCAATCATGTGTATCCATGCAGTCGATTGCATATCTCCAATGGTGATTCCCAGTTTGATAGCTCCCATGGCCCTTTGTCCCCCTTGATTGAATCCTTGAATCATCAGTCGGCTTTCAGAAAGTTCTTCAGTTGAGATGCCGAGTTCTTTCATTATGCGAATGGGAATAGTGTTAACTGCAGATCCGTCATCTATCAAGATTCTGTTTATCCTCCACTCGAGCACACAACCCACCATAAACAAAGGGCGATTGTGTGGTGTCTCACCAAGTAGGAGATCGTCTTCAGTGAAGGTGATTTTTGTATTATAGACATCTGCTTCTTGGAAGGAGGACTCAACAAGACTATTAGACGGTGATGGAGACGGTGTTGATGTGACTACATTCTTTTCCTCTTCTTCTTTATCAGCATTACAATGCAAGGCCTTGTCATCATCGTCAGTAATCCTCATGCAAAACCAACTCAGTAAGAATTCTCCCAAAGTCACCGGGTGGCGTGGCTTTTGGTGATGGTGTGTCTCTATCTCCACCTTCTTTGGGTTCTTAACCATTTGTTACTTTTTTGGTCTTCTCACCATCTTATTCCTCTTAGGAAACTCATACATTGTCATCCTCCAACAATTCTTTATCTTTATTCCCTTCACAGGTGCATATCTCAATCGGATCGAATGAGCCAAAGGTAATGGACACATGGTTTGTGCTTGCCTTTTCGTCTTCAAGCTCGATGTTCTTTTGACGAGACAAATCCATAACTTTGTCCTTGAAGACAAAGCACTTCTCAAGAGGGTGACCTATAAGCCGATGGTATTTGCAGTAATTCGGGTCATTGCTTCTTCCAGCTTCACCTTTGGCAGCTCAATAAGTCTAGCTCGAGGAGTTCTTCAAATATTTCAGGCACATTGGAGTCTAGAATTGGTTACTCCTTTTCTTGCATCTCTATGAGAGTCAACTTCGGATTTGCATTGTCTTGCGAGGAAGTTTTTTTCGTACTCTGTTTTTTTCTCACCTTGGTATTAAACTTCAAAGGAGAGGCATTGACGTTCATGGATTCTTTGCTTTCATTCTTGGGTACGAACTTGTTCCATTTCTTGACATCTTGCTTATCTCTTCCCTTGCAAGGTTCGTAGATGGCAGCCCTTCATTTCCCGCAGAAGCCATTCTCAACTCTATATCATGAGCATGGGTGGCAAGTTCTTCAAACGTACTGGGCTTAATTCCTTGCAAGATGTAACGAAGTCCCCAATGCATTCCTTGGATGCACATCTCTATGCCAGAAGCTTCGCTTAGCCTATCTTTGCAGTTAAGGCTTGCATTCCTCCATCGGTTGATAAAGTCAACAACTGGTTCATCTTTTCATTGGCGAGTGTTCGTAAGTTCCACCATGCTCACGGTATGCCTCGTGCTGTAAAAGGGATTGAGAAACTCTTGCTCCAACTGGTCCCAACTATCAATGGATCCAGCTCGAGGTTAGCCTACCAATCAAAAGCATTCCCCTTTAGTGAGCGGATGAACTGCTTCACAAAGTAATCTCTATAAGTCCATGCATTGTTGCATGTCTCAACAAAGTGCGTGACATGTTGCTTTGGATTTCCCTTGCCGTCAAACTGCTAAAATTTGGGAGGAGCCGACAGGCATCTTCAAGCTATCGATTCTTGCAGTATATGGCTTGCGTACGTGAGAGAAGACTTTGAACCGACCTTATACTTATCTTTGATAGTTCCCATAATGAATTCCTTCAATTGTTCAATGGGAAATGATCCTTGAAGGAGACATGAAGTTCTTTGGCGGATGACACTTATTTTGTTGGAGGATCAGCCTTCTCATGGACTTCAGGGAGCTTTCCAGGTGCATGACTTGATTCTCTATCCATCATGCTTTCAACTATGCCTGTCAATTTTGCGATACGAACATCTTGATCTTGAGCATACTTTTTTAAGCCATCAATCGCCTTTGTCAGGTTTGCGAGTTGCTCCTCCATTGTCGAAGTGTTAGTCATCATTGCCTCCATGATTATTGCAGATGATGAAGAATAATCGAGACCTTCCCACGAATTAAACTCAGCTTGGTACATATCATGTGGCGGGATTGGCGTAGAGCCAACACTTAAAACTTTATCATCAGGATGGGTAAGCTGACTCTTGGTATTGTATAAAGTAAGTTGAGCAAGAGCTTTTTCCACAACTTCTACAATATTATCTCCTCTCTCTAATTTGCTAGCGGAGTACCTTTCTTCTTGGATGATGAAAATCTCAAAGCATGCATTGGTGCCAACGACACTTGGAGTGCTTGCTGTCCCAAGACGCTCGCCTTGCTTCGGGTGATTGGCCCAAGACTCCCCATAGTAGTGTTCAGGATACTTTCAATGTTAGAAGAAAACTTGGAGTCAGCAACTTTTGAGTCGATCTTCTTTGAATCCATCTTAGTGGTCTTGAATGTTGAGAGTTTAGAATAGATGAGAGGTAGAGATGGTCCCACAGGGCATGCCAAAATTTGTAACAACTAATTTCGCTCCTGAAAAATAATAATCAAGACAAGAAATATAGCGACAAATATTATATTCAATTTCAAGTGATGGGATTACAATCTCTAAAATATATCTAAATCTAAAGAGATGTAGTCCTCTGATTCTTCTCCTCACGGATGATGGTTCAAGAGCTTGAGAGCTTGATCTTGAACTCGAGGGATTTCAGATTTGTAGTACGTCAGGAACAATTTGAAGTTCGTCATGAACCAGGATTTGGTGTCGGGTTATCACAAACGAAAGATTTGAAGCGGCCCGCCTACGATTTGAGTTCGCCTTTGGAATTTGACCGCAAACGACGACTGAAGA